CAACACCATGTTTGAGTATGTAAAACAAGTATTTAGTTATTGTGACAACCAAATAAGAACTTTGAGGTTTGAAGTGAAATAGACAAGACAGACAGAGCAATATTAGGTTAGAATCTGTGAAACATATACGCAAGATATTTGTTTTGCTAAAAGATATTATTGCGAGTATTCACTTAATCTTTTATTTTTGATTCAACATTACTTCTTTGAGAAGTTTACAATATTGTTATTCTGAATAATCTTATGAATTAGGTTTTCCTTTTTCTGATTCTTTTTTTTCCTGATTCATTATTACTATTATCATTATTTTATTATGTTGATAGTAATAATGTTGCTTTTTTAATATTGGTGTTTGTATTTTGAGATTAAGTCATTTACTTGATCAAGTATACCTTTATTAGTGTTTAATATTTTGTAAAATTTGTATTGTGTTTTATAAATCTCTAATTTTTTATACCCTGGTATTAATGTAGTTGATTTTATACATTCCATTCCTAATTACGTTATTTGATAAATTACAGTTCAACATTTCACTATGATACAAGAAAGATAAAAAGATGATGTGATTTTTTGATACATGAGCAATTACTTACACTTCTCAAGTGTGTTAACCAGCAATGCATATTATCATCAACAGAAATTGTTATTTATTTACCTTGAATTGTTTTTACAAATTAAAGGACACACTAGTTTCAAGAATTATTTATGCTTCTTTTAAAGTAGTTGTTGAAAAAATTCTAATCAAAAATCATGGTTAATTACTGCATAATTTATCTGTGTAAATCTACACCAAGCCCAATGGTTAGTTTTTATGACTTTCCTAAATGACAAGAAGTTTGTGATTGTTCTATCATTAGGAAACATTATATTCATTTGGATGAGTATTTCTTTATATATATATATATATATATATATATACTAAGAATATATGAATATATTGTTTATAACACCAATTTGGACATTCAAATTTGATGTCCACTTCTAAAATAAGCTTAGTAAATAATAACTTTGTTATCCATTTATGCTAATTATCTTAATTAAATTAAAATGCAATTTTACTCAGGTGATTTTTCTACTTATCCTTCTAAAAGTTTGGTCCCAGTTACTTCATTTAACATAAGATATCCAGAGTATGGAAGACCAAACATTAGGCATGTAATTTGTTGGTGATGATAATCTCATCAGCTTCCACACATACTTCCTCATAATTCACCACAACTCACTTGAATATATATACAGCTGAAATGATGTTTTGTTTCCATTATCTTTATTTTCTGAATGTTCTGTATACGTAAACCATGTTCAAATGCTTTGTTTACCTTCTGTGACATAATGATGCCAGTATTTCTCAACAGGTTGCACTTTAATCAGTTTTTAGGAGCTGTAAGAGCATTTAAATCACTTGATTCACACACATTTCAAATACTTTTTTTTAAACTTATGAAGAAGTACATAAAACAATAGTTCCAATGAGAATCTGTTATGCAAGTTGTAATTTCTAACTAGATATGATTACAATATCTTCTCAAAAATGTGAGATGTGTTTGAATTTCATTTCATCTCTGGTTTCACTTTTGAACAAATATTTACTACAGGTAAATTTCTTTGTACGAATAAAATAAAAATCAGCTTTTAATGAAAGTATGATTGTTATTGATAAGAACTTTAAACTTATCCTTTTTAGGTATAAAATGGTGGTGGGCAATACTTTTTGCAAGAGGGTCACTCCATGAATTTTGGTAAGATGTCTTAGGCTGCACATTTCTACTATATTAGTTAAATAACCTCAACATTTATTGAATAAAGACCCTATTATGTTCTTTCCACAACTGTCGGGAGTCATGGCGGGCAGAACAGAAAGGTTAGACAGGCCGGATCTGGCATGCAGACCATATTTTCCTCACCCCTTGTATAAAACTTCAAAATAATATCTTTAATAGACTTACCAACTTTAAGTTGGTCACAATAACAGTCCTTCTTTACATTGTATCTGATGTTATATGCAATGTCATACTCTGTGCCCTTCCATAACTTTGTAACAACAAATTGACCACATGAGTCTTCATAACCTGGAAACAATAAGCTTCTATAATTTTTTAATACAACACATAAATTAATAGTATAAACATTTTAAGATAAATACAGAATGTTTAAAACGCATATATACATTTATCATGCAATACACAATAACCAATAGGTGAAGCTCAATTAACAGAAAATGCATATACATATGCAAAGACATTACAATAATAAAGATTTGAATTCATAAATAGGCTCGTAGTTTCATACTTAAAAATTATTCTTCATCCAAATGTATCCACATACAAACCTTATGACTGAATAAAGTGAAACTCCTAGCTCAAACTTCTTATGTTACTTATAACTTTAAATTGTTCAAGTGTGCTATGAAAACTTCCAAAAATGCTTATACATGTATATTAATTACACATTTACAGAAATCCCATGTCCAAAATGCAAATAATTGTCCATTATTTGCTAACAAACATGTTAATAATTGTATTATGGAAAAATGTCATACTTTACAAGAACCTTTTTTTCAAATATTGGTATTATTGTGAAAAAGTAAGAGATTATGTTATGAAAATTATTATACTGATAAATTTAAAACAACAAATGTGACAATTTAACACACATAGGGGGGTTTAACACATATATAAAGTTTTATGGTGAAAAAAAGGGAATATTTTCTATTGTTAAGTAGAATTAATTAGAAAGCGTCTTACTGAAGAGTAGCTTTGAAGATAAAATTATTATTTATCTTTTTATATATGTTTTTATTTGCTTTAAATTGATAATAATAAAGTTTCAAAATATTATAATAGCTTTTCTCGACTTCTGCTGTCCTCTATATGCACAATTTTTGCTCGCTACTAGCCTTGATGCTACCACCTACCCTCATATAATTTCTCGTGGCATAGCTGTGCTGTAGCATGCAACAACTCTCCACCAATAGGGGTTAAACACACCCTCCTAGCACAGCTGACTCCCTCTATACTGTAGAGAACTATCATCACTTGAGATTAGGCACAAATAACACACTGGAAATAGGAGGATGGGTGGGAAGTGTGAGAGTAGGTAAGTATCTATCAGAAATACATTTTCGGTGTAGGAAAATGTTAACTTCTGATATGTTTTCACATAATAGATAGAATACTACTTTGGAGGGACCAGTGCAAAAGTTACCTGGATGAGCACTCTTCAGAAGGTGCCTGAAGAGAACTCATGAAATATGATACCCTAATGTATTGGGTCACTCTCATAGGAGACCACATCCCATTCTGTACCAGGTATATTCTTCAACCACTTTAAAGATACGTGTCACTACATCAGGCAGAATATCGGGGTGAATATTTAGTGTTTGACAAAGAAAGTGGGTTTTCTCTGAGTATTGCCATTTCCCCAACATTTAAATTAACAAGGGCTTTGGACCACTATTCCCTGTCCCTGAAAAGGAATGTTTACTTATCAGTTAATCAGATTTATCTAATGATTTTATCTATATCTTAAACTTAAAACTATCCAAGTCCAAATTTTGTTTTATTTTGGTCTCTATGACCTACTCTTGGATTCCATTTAGTTATTAATATTCAAAACTTTACATTCACATAAAAAGCGTCCATAATTCAACATTGAAAATATTAGCTTTGACACTGGTGTGCTTGGTTCTCCTCATCTCCATGTGACCACTGACCTCTGTCTTCACCACTTTTCCAACCAATGCTCAATGCAAGATAGCACTCTCCTTTTGCCAACTTCACACATTTCAGCCTTTCGGCTTCAT